TTTTAGACAGCATTTTAAGTTGCACTTTCTCCCATTCATAGTAAAAATAAACGTCTTGGTATTTATATAGCTTTTGGTATTCCTAAGAACTTGCCGTTTTATAATCATTCCTTTTATTCATCATTGACCCATATGTGTGTTATGGTGTGTGTGTGTGTGTGTGTGTGTGTGCGTGCGTTTTTGTGACAAATGAATTTGTAATAATGACAAAGGTATAACATAGGTATTACAAGGAGAAGGTGACTTTTCAGGACATTACCCCATGTCCCCACTTTTCAAAACGCTTCTACATTTCTGATGAAGAAACAAACTCTTTTACATCTTTGATGGCTTGAGGATAAGTACATTTTCAGCAAATTTTCATTTATGTGTGAACTATTCCTTTAAGAAATTTCAAAATATCTTAAAAAGATGGATTATATCAACAGGAAATATTCCTTACTTGTTGCCATGTTTGTTTGTTTTTACCAAATATCCACAAAAAAAAAAAAAAAAAAAAAAAAAAAAATTAATAATAATATATAAAATTATTCGAGTCAAGTGTTAATTTCGTTTTTTTTTTTTTTTTTTTTTTTTTTTTTTAACCTTTTTTTTTTTGTTTTTTCCCCCCTTATTATTATTTTTTTTTTGCCTGACTGGAGTACATTATTGAGCAATCAGGGCCGAGGACAGGAACTGTCAGATTTATAATGACATTTCATAAATAAATACTGCCATTAATTTGATAATTTCAGCAATCAACCCTCGTGAAACACTTTTGAAGTGCTCTTAAAATGTACTGAATGTGCACTTGCAGTGTACTTCAAACTTCAACCTCAAATACTTCAATCTTAAAAATGTCTTAAATACTTGATTGTGCAGCAGTACAAACGAGTATAGCCAGCCTGGAGATTTAAAACACACACGCACTTTAAATCATAAATTACATGTTTCCCCAATAATAATTGTAATATTTTATCAATATTTGTACATTACAAATGAGTCTTCAATATTTTGAGTCAATTTTCCAGATTTGCATTTAGATACACTTAAGCCATAAAACCCCATTTTTGATGAGTTATTCATCATAAATATGGACAGACTGGTACACTATGGACAATTGCATGTAAAAGGTTTCACAAGCAGCATATAAGGTATACAGTGCAATATTCAGTAATGAAGCACTGAACGGGAGAGAGGTGTTGTAATAATGTAAAATATGTGAAAAATTATGTGTTTTTCGTAGTATGACAGTATTCTGTCTAGCCTGTTCTAGTACGCCCCCAAAACAAAATCAAAACTTTGTAAAATAATAATAATAATTATTATTATTATTATTTAAAAAAATAAAACAAAAATAATTATTGTATTTAATAATTGTATTGTAATTATTGCAATGATTGTAATTTTGCTTTAAAATAAAAGTTATTTAATTATTTTATTAATAATAAAGATAAATAAAAAAATAAAAACAAAATAAGAAATATTATTGTAATTTTGCTGTATAATAAAGATTAGGGTTATTATTGTATTTAATAATTGTATTGTAATTATTGCAATGATTGTAATTTTGCTTTAAAATAAAAAAGTTATTTAATTATTTTATTAATAATAAAGATAAATAAAAAAATAAAAACAAAATAAGAAATATTATTGTAATTTTGCTGTATAATAAAGATTAGGGTTTAAGAACAAAAACAATTATTATTACTGTTAGCAGCAGTAGTAAATACATTAATAAATAAAAATGTAAAAATTAATAAATAGAAACAAAATGAGAAATATTTTGTTTAATTTCTCAGTAAAATACAAAATAAGTATTTAAGAAAGATAACAATATAATAATAATAATAATTTATTTATACAAATATAAAAATTACAAAATAAAACAAATACAGTTGTAATGTCGCTGTAAAATAAAAATGAGTATTTAAGAAAACATTAATAATAATAATAAATAATAATAATACATTTATTTCACATTGCAACTATAAATATTACAAATACTAATATTTATGGTTGTCTTAATTTCTTCAATTTCAAATCTTTAACCACTGAACTTATTTTGCCCTCAAAGCTTCTCTTTTGTTGATGAGCGCTTCTCATTAAAAGTATGGAAAGATGCATGTCACATCCCCAAATGCACACAAATGTGTCCCAAACTCAGAGCAGATCCAGAGATGAGGTTTGTGTGGAGCAACATTTACTGTGAAACAATCAAGCTGCTCCGAGACGCTGAAAACAGCGGCAGATTATGAGCTGCTCACGTCTAAATGAACACAGTGCCACGCTTCACTCTGAAACACGCAGTGCATCTCTTTATTTCATTAATCACAGCCTTTGCGATTGATAAATCACATTAAGCCATATCGTGCTTTAGTGTTTATTTTGAGTAATCATGCAGCCTGGCTCTGCGGTCGCCCCGGCTTTGCTCTTTGCTTTGAGAGGCAGAGTGCAGCTGACAAGGACACTTTAGGGATTTAATGGTTTCTTGTGGCTTACCTGAAGTGAAATAAATAGTAGACGAGGGTAGAAAGCACGCACACACACACACATCAGCAGATGTCCCTGTGAGCTGCTCTAATGAGCAGCCTCCTCACAGCTAATTCAGCTTAGCCTCCTGGCTTTACCTCGGCTCAGAGCTGGACTGCTTCCTGCGAAATAATGTGATTTCAGCCATCTCAGCCACAGCCCAGTCATTCCCAGAAGGGCAGAGAGAGGGGAAAGCATGACTTGCTTCTCTCTCTTTTGTCAGGCACACCTTTAAAACCACCACAGACACTGCAGACACTAGACACACAGAGGAAAGCACAAACTCGCCTCGAGAGCACAGGGAGTGTTGCAAACGCCTGCATATTCTGGTGTTTTGCTCTTGTGCACTTATCGTTAACGGTTGCTAAGACACTATTACTAATGTTCATACTGTTTTCAAAATGTGTGTTTTTTGGGGGGGGTTTTTTTGGGGAGATCAGGATTTTAAAGGGATAGGTCACTCAAAAATGACAATTCTGTCAACATTTGTTTAACATTCAAAAATGAAGAAATTAAGACTATTAAAGTTAACAGTATACAAATTAAAACATTTTAAATGCTTGATTTAAAAAAAAAAAAAAACATTTTTTCTGAGACTAAAAATATTTATACTTAAAGGGGTCATATGATGCTATTTCAAGTTTTCCTTTCTCTTTGGAGTGTTACAAGCTCTTGGTGCATAAAGAAGATCTGTAAAGTTGCAACGACTAAAGTCTCAAATCCAAAGAGATATTCTTTATAAAAGTTAAGAGTTAACTACGCCTCCCTAAACCGGCTCGTTCTAACACGCCCCCACATGTCTACATCACTATGTGGGAAGATTTGCATAACGCCGCCCAAATGTTCACGCAAAGAAAGAAGGCGTAACTTTTATTCTCGCTGTAGTATTGTTGCAGCCGCCATGTCGTGAACAGCAGGTATGTGTTACTCCGCAGCGGTGGCGACCCGACCAGCCTACAATAGTCCAAATATAAGTACTTATTATAACTGTACCGTAGTGATTCGGAATAAGACCAAAACCTGGTTTGGAAGATGAATTCATGATGTACTCGCTCATTATATACATTTTGCAAATCTTGAACACAGAAAAAGTTACATAGTGCTGCTTTAAATGGAATGTATACATAAACTATATATTTTAATAAACTGTCTTTACAAAACGAAGATACAACGAAAGGTTTTTAGGTTGAAATTATCCGTGACAGCTATACATTCTCAAACACACTTGAGCCGGAAAACAATGGCATATGGTGATTTGTTTATAATTTTTTCATTCTAATTTTCATTTTGTAACCAAAGTTTCCAAAACAACGAATCATTCACACAATTTTGACAAATCTCATCCGTGTTAGCCAACGAGATCAAGATAGATCCACAACAACATTCACATCATCACAGAAAACCAAGAGTTTACGTTTGCATGGTATATTTCTGAACAATGAACATAACCTTGTGGAAAAAAGCACACTTAAGCACGCTTTAAAAAATAAAAAGAAAGAGAGTACTTATTACAGAAATAATATACTTTAAAAGAATATGCTTAAGTGTGAATTGAATTAAATGCTTTGGACACTTCATTGCATAATAATTGCAATTAAATGAAATGTAACTATTATAGTTCATATTTATATTAAATGCAGTGAGTCAGCTAGTTAGCTTTAGAGTGTTTTTAACCCACATTTTTATATGTAGTTTCTTAATGACTTATTTTGGTTATAGTGCACTTCTGAATGTACTGATAATCATTTACGGTAAACTAAAATATACTTTAATGTCATTTCAAATGGAAACTTTTATTGAAAATATATTAACTTTAAATATAACATTGAACAACACACTATTGTTAAAATTGTACATGTAAAATTTGTCATACTTTACATGTGCTTTAGTATGTTATGTATGATTTTTAATTTGACATTATTACAAAGTGCACTTTTTAAAAGTGAACTTAAGCATGTTAACAAACGCTTAAGTCATTAAAGTGTGTTTAAGTACACTCAAGTGGCCTTTTATGTCATAAATATTATATTACCCGCAAATGCGGTTTGTTCAAAATATACTTTGATTTGAAGTACACTGCAAATGCACGTTCAATACAATTAAGTGCACTTCTTTTTTACAAGGGTAAGCTCTCTCACATCAGGCTATCCTTACTGTCAAGATAAGTCTGAGATAAGATGAACATGTTTATGATGATGATATCCTGAAGGATCATTAACATGAAAAATAGAGGTGCAAATGAAGGACTAACCCTGCAATTCACGTAACCAGTCATTTGTAAACAATAAGGGTCTGATACTCACCTTGTCATTTCAGATAAACACCCTGACCTGTGTGTGTGTGTGTGTGTGTGTGTGTGTGTGTGCGCGTGTGTCTGGCCCGACTGCTCCACAGCGCGAGTCTGATAAAGATTATTATCGAGACAAGACCTGGTCTAGCCAGAAAATAACAGCTGGGTGACCGAGCATCTATCTCTGCGTCTGTGTTACCTGATTAAGTCTCCGTGCAGCTGCAGGTAGAGGCCCTGCACGTCTCTCTGAGCACACAGCTCCTCGGCAGTGGTGTTGGTGGAGCAGAGCACCAGCTTCAGGTCCGGCTGGGTGCTGGTGGAGGTCTGGGGGCCCGACGCTGGAGGCTGAGGCTCTGAGGCCCCGTAGAGACACACACAACCTCGCTGAGCGTCGCCCTTCAGCCAGTCCCGCTCTCGAGAGCCGAAGCGCGTCTTCCGCGTCACGCAGCCTCGACTGCCGTTCCTCTTCATGTTACGCTGAGGAGAAAAGTCTAGATTAGATGTTGCTTGTGTTCTTTAGAGAGATTATGGCCTTCTAGAAATAAGGCCAAATAAAGAGTTTTAGAGTCCAAATCAGTCGTAGGAAATCATGCCTTGGTGACCACAAGTTGGTGGCTGTCGGGACTCCACCCTGCAACACAGAGCCTGTTTGAGAGACACCAGACTTTGATTTTGCTTGCAGAAAACTACGCCGGTGCAAATATTTACCCAGGGCACAAACGGCCTGCAGAGACGTGCGAGTCGAGACCACTTCGGAGATGACATGTCATTTGTAAGGCTGGTGAAATCAATTTCTGATCAATATGCTCTGACCAACACTTACTGGCATCAGCAGCTCAGGGTGTCTAAAATAACCTTTTGCTTAAGGACCAAAACAAAATCTAAATATTAGGGATGCACGATATATCGGCCACCATATCGGTATCGGCCCATATCGGCTCATTTTTTCTGTTATCGGTATCGGCCTGATACTTTAACAGATGATTAAATGATATAGCATGCAATAACTGCGTCATTTTGTACATATATAAGTTGTAATATTATGTTTATGTTGTATTAATATTAATCTCAGGATGCATTTCCTTGAGTTAAATAAGCTGCCAGCAAAACGCTTCAGTTTACCGTGTTCATTCAGCTCTTCAGCTTCAGCACGTGCAGCTCAACGGCTGCTATTTAAAACAGTGGTATTAATTTGTTACTTTTTCAAAATCATTGATATATTATTAATAACAACAACCACTTGTATTTTTCTCTTATTATTTTCATCAACAATATGGTTTAGTAATTAAAATCATTTAATTATTGTCCGTGCAGAGGCTATTCCGTTTTATTGATCTATGGCGCATTCATTTTGATTCTTTACACGTGTAATGATGTCCAGTGACTTGTTTGCATTATTTATGCATTATTTTATTTATTTGTAAGACTTTTTTATGACTAAATTTGGTAATGGGAGAGTAAACATATTTTTAAAACGTACACCGTTCAAACTAGGCTGCTTATGTTGAAGTGTTTGGGATGTGGCTTTTAATGATGAGACCTTTTTTGTAATCAGGCTCTCAAAAAGTATATAACAATTTGGATATAGATTTATCGGCCAACATATCGGTTATCGGCTTTCAAAAATAAAGAATAATCGGTTATCGGTATCGGCCAAAATTTTCATATCGGTGCATCCCTACTAAATATTGAACTTCTTTTGGGTTCCACAGAATAAAGAAAGAAAGCAATACAGGTTTAGAACAACGTGTTCAATAATAATAATAATTATAGAATAATGATAATATGTTTATTTATTTATTTATGCATGTATGTATGTATGTAATCTTGGTTTGGAACAACCGATTCATTAATAATAAAAAAACATAAATTAATTAACACATTTAAAAAAAATTAATTAATAATAATAATAATAGTTGTTGTTCCAAACTTGATTTTTTTTTCTCCAGTAAAATAAAATTATTATTACTATTATGTTCCACAGAAAAAATAAAGTCATACAGGTTTGGAACAACCTGTTAAATAATAATAATAATCAAATAATATATATTATTATTATTATTATTATTATTATTAAACCTCAAAATTGTTCCAAACCTGTCTGATTTTCTTTCTTCTGTAAAAAATATAAAATATAATACAATATATTTTAATATAATTATTACACACATTAAAACCGTCAGCTACTTATGAAAGAATAAATCTCATTTATTGTATAATCCACCTAGTGCAATCAATTACAGCAAATAAGTCTGTCTAAAAATCATTAGCTCATCACTGACTCATCATTACAAACCTTTCTAATCACATACTCAACCGAACAGAGTTTTTATGACCCATTTCTACTATTTATAAACCTTTTTTGTGCATTTTTGTTTACCCATTTCATTAATGTTTTGTAATAATATCTATCAACAAAAGATCACTGCTAAATCACCTCTGATTTCTACTTATTTAAATAATGTTGTAATAATAATCAGCATAAAGGCCTTTAAGCTAAACGTCTTTAATCTAAAGAACAAGCTGACTTACCATTAATCATCTTTCTAATCAAATGCGTCAGCATTATTACTTGTCTCTATCTGCACTCATCTGTCAAGGTTTACTGTACATGTGATATAAATATTAATATAATAATGACATATTTGACATTTATTCATATTGATAAATGAGAACATTGCATTGGATCCTAATGCTGTGAATAATGAAAATGTATTTTTCAAATAGATAAGAGTAACTAGATAAGACAGTATGACTATAACAATACAGTGGTCTAACAAAAAGCATTGTTAGTTCAGCAAAGTAACTCTGCTTATTCACTCACAAGCAGGAGGAAGCAACTGACATCTAATTTTGTTCTGATTATCTGTTACAATGGCTGAACATAATGACGGGCATATTTCCTGTAGGCGTATTATGTGAGGTGGATTGCGAAGATAATGGCCGTGGCATTATCACGTCACACACAGAGGTGCTGTTCACACACAACGCGTTCCTGCGTTCACAAACAGCTAGATGCAGCGGAATGGAACAGAACGCCGTTTCAATATATGGCAAGCTGTTTTCATATTTACTATCTTAGTGCATGTTTTTAGTATTTATTAAGTAGTCCATTAGTGACTAATATATTTTTCAATTTCAGTTTTCAGCCATGTGATTAGTTCTTTTTTTATGTGGAGGTGCAAAGCCTCAATTTAGCAAAATTAAAAAATTACAACAAATATTTTTGTACTTTTTGTATTTTATATTGTATATATATATATATACTACTTTCGGAAGGCCAAATAAAGTGCTTTTGCTTTCGCCTAGAAACACACAGCGTCTCCCTGACATGCTGCTTCAACACTAACTGCGGTTACTGAAACCACGCCTTCTTTCTTTGCGTGCACATTTGGGCGGCATTATGCTAATATTTCCACATAGTGAGGTAGATATGTGGGGGCGTGTTAGAACGAGCCGTTTTAGGGGGGCGTGGCTGAGTCTTAACTTTGATAAAGAATATCTCTTTGGTTTTGAGACTTTAGTCTTTGCAACTTCAGGGATCTTATCTGTGCACAATCAGCTTGTAACACTCCAAGAGAAAGGAAAGCTTGAAAATCGCATCATATGACCCCTTTAAATCTATAACTAGACAACTTTTCCAGTTGACAAGTCAACAGTGCTCAGGGAGCCAGTGGCTAAAAAACAGAGAGACGCGACGCAAAGCCCAAAGACGTCCATCTGACGCGAGTGTACAGAGACAGAAATAGCAATCACAAAATAGCCAGAACGCCCCCTAACAGGTTACAGGCGTTACACTGGAACTGTTCTGATACAGCACACAAACTAAAAGAGAGAAGCGACATGAAGTGAGAACAATGATGCCATTATGATCCATCTACTATCCCAGGCTGTGTCACAAAACCGAATGAACCGCCCACATAGACAGCTCGTTCCGAGCCCGATCAGCTCGCCAAGTCTGCTGTCTAGGTAGGGAGCCTGCTGGGTTTTGGGACGCGGCGGTGTGTGGAAGTGTTAAACAGATCATTGCTGATGCAGTTCACGGATTCACACGTACTTTGGCCCTGCTGCTTAACAGCAACGCTGAGACCGAAACGCAGCTGGAGCTGGTACCTTTAAAACGCGTATTCCCGTTGCCGCTCGGGCTGTCGGTGCGGGGGCTCGGTCGGATCCCGCTTCATGCAGCACCGGGTTCAGCGGCGCTCCGCTGCCCGCCCGGCCATCCTCCACATCGGCTGCATTTCTCCGCTCCGTGTCGGCGCTCTGGAGCGACCGCGCTGTGCTTTCCTCGTCCTTCATTTCGCCTACATTTGACGTCTTTCAGCACAGAAATCCAGAGGTAAGATAGCAACTGGCGACAGATACATTCCGGCACAGGAGGCGGTAGAAAAAGCCCATCCTGATTTGATGAGACGCCATAGTGGGACTGAAGCGCACGGCTGTCAAATAAACCCACTAAATAAACATGAGGGGGCGGCGCTCATTATTATTCATAGAACACCGCCTCTGTTGCTGAATTATTCATGAGCATACTTGATCTAAAACTGGTGATTTGAAATGGGTCATCACAAATTTTTAGCAATCCCATTTCATTCAGAATTCAACACAGGTCGAACATTTACTGAGTACATAGCTCTCCAGAAAAAGTAAAAATAAATAAATAAATCGACCACTTCCTTTAGGTAACCAATATACATTTTGTTCCTATTGTAAGGGTTTCTGATAAACATAAAAATGACACTTCCTCCATCAGCAGTCAGCACTGTTAAAAAAGCACATCAGGTCTGTAAAGCTAGTGAGATTTGGAGTCGTTCACTCTTATCAAGAATCACTGACCTCTGGCACCCAAACTGGAATGACTAGCTCTTCTTGTGCAATGTGTTTTGAAGCAGTTAAACTTTAAACTGAACGTACATTCTGTAGCACGCTATAAATCAGTCAACTGGAGTACAAATGCTGAGATGGAGACAGACATGTGATTACGTCATAACTGCAATATAAAATTTTGCAATCAGTGATACATTTTTTTCCCCTGCATCTCATCCCTGCAGATAAAGAAGGTCTTCACTGTGGTATCAAAGGTCATTTTATTAACCTTCACAATCTGTTCGAGAGACCTTAACAGTTTAAAAGGATACTTATTAAAGTATCAGGTTTTAGTGATACTTTGATCAGACCCAAGATATAAAACATGAATAAATGCAATCAATTATCATCATTATTATGGACGTCAGAAGTGATGGTTTAAAGTAACAATTTTTTTTTTAAATGCCTTAATGTTGGATGTGTTTCTTAAAGGGCTTTTCACTTCACAAGACGTTAGATGGACTGGAGTGGTGTGGATTATTGTGATGTTTTTATCAGCTGTTTGGACTCTCATTCTGACGGCACCCATTCACTGCAGAGCATCCATTGCCGAGACACTGATGCAATGCTACATTTCTCCAAATCTGATGAAGAAACAAACTCATCTACATCTCGGGTCACCCGAGGGAGAGTACATTTTCAGCAAATGTTCAACTTTTTTTTTAAAAGCTTCATTTTTTTCTGTTGGGTTTTCTGGTTGGAGGACATTTTAAAAGAATTTGAAGGGGAAAGAAACAGGTTGCTTATTTACTATTATTTTCACAAATACAGCACTGGAGTCGCCTGAACAGAACAGAGGGTTAAGATGAAAAACAACAGAACCGAATATGAATGATTATTGTATAATTAATTCTATATTTTGTCTGGACATCAGGAATACTCATTCATTTTGGCTTCTATGACATATTGCAGTTTCAAAGTTTAACACAAGAGGGTGACAGCAGACTAAATAAAGCTCAAACTAGATCATTCATTATGGTTTTTCAGACTCCGTTCAGTTACAAATGAACAAAACCACTTCTTTCCAAAACACAACATCAGGTTTGACAGTTTTATTATTTCATTTGATAATTTTCTCCAACCCAAAGACAATAATACACAGCATAAGTCTAAAATATCCCATGAGGACATGGACTTGCGATTCAGTTCAGCATGTCACTCATTGGGGTCGTCCTCCCCTCCTGCACAAGTTCAGATGTGTTGAATAGCAAGTGTAAAATATCTGAGATGGGGGCACATGTATAGATACACTTCAAAAACAACCGATACCTTTACAGATTTCAAAGAGATTCTGATGGAGAAGGCAATCATCCAAGCATGTGATACAAAGTCCATCTGATCAAGCAGTTACACCCAAACAAATGACGCTCAATTCCCCCTGACTGACCATCTTCTGCACAGGAAAGAAAATCGGCTTCTTAATGAAGATTAATTGGAGAATCAACATATTTCCAAATGTACAAAGGTCTGTGCATGTATCGCAAGATATAGTGAACAGTGGTGACTTGAGAATTCAAACTTAGCTTGCATTAAAGTTTACATAAAGAGTAGACATGACCATATTTACATAGCTTTTTTCACATGCGGCTGAAAAGAAAATCATTTTGGTGTGAGAAAACTTGCTGAGAGATGTGGCAAGTTCACAGATGGTTGTTTCGCCCTCTTCAATGCGCAAACATCTTGGCGTAAGAAGCAGCAGATTCAGAAAGTCGGGTTTTGAAACGGCTCTCACGCAGAGCCATTTACTATTGTTACGCACCTCTCGACTCACACAAAAGATATTTTGAAAAATGTTGGTATCCGAACAGTTGATGGGCACCTTTGACTTCCATTGTATTTTTTTTCCTACTATGGAAGCCAATGGTGCCCATCAACTGTTCGGATACCAACATTTTTCAAAATATCTTCTTTTGTGTTCAACAGAAGAAAGAAACTCATACAGGTTTGGAACAAGTGGAGGGTGAGTAAATCATGACAGAATTTTCATTCTGGAAGTTAACTTATCCTTTAAGTTCACTCAAGAAGCATCAAAACATTCAGGGATGAGACCATGTTCTCCAACCTGGGATAGTACACATTTCCTAACAGCGTTTTATCTGAAGTTGTGCCTCAACTCCATGTGCTTCAAAAAAAAAAAAAAAAAGATTATGCATGAGCCTAAACTGCATGGAAAAATCAGTAGAGGTGGTTTGTGGGAAAACTGTAACTATAAACTTTGGTTTTTGAGCTTTCCTCAACATAGCAAAGTTACTATAAAGAGGTCTGAAGACCGTTCAGGTCATTCCAAACCTGCATGACTTATTCTGTGGAGCACAAAAGATGTTAAAATTGAAAAAATTCGCCATACAATGAAAATCAATGGAGTCTAGTCTTGATTTTGGACAAAAACTGCTGACACAATCTTCAAAATATCTTCTTTTGTGAATAGTCATTCATACAGGTTTGAAACGACATGAGGGCGAGTTAAAGGGCTAGTTCACCCAAAAATGAAAATTAGCCTGTTTTATACTCACCCTCGAGGCATCCTAGGTGTATATGACTTTATTCTTTCAGATGAATCCAGTCGGAGTTATATTAAAAATTGTCCTGGCTATTCGAAGCTCTATCATTGCAGTCAGCGGGTGTTGCAGTTAAACAGTCCACAAGTCGTCAAATAAAGCGCGAGCATTCATAATAAACGTCCCTCACGTGGCTCCGGGGGTGGTGGATGTGAATAAAGGCCTCCTGTAGCGAATCCATGCATTTTTGTAAGAAAAATATCCATATTTCAAAGGTAATAAACACTTTTTCTCACTTCCGTTATCTGTCATACGCGGAAGGCGTTCCGGCGGATGACGCAGCACGTATGCGCAGCCCACGCCTGAGATATGCTAGTCTCGCGAGTTTGTTTATAGGAGCAACGGAAGCAAAGTTTCCTTACTTTAGCAAAGGAAGACCAGTCTCCTCTTGGTTTATATCGAGAAATCCTCCGGCATTTTTCTTTGCAAATCCTCGGTTTGTATTTCTGATTCATGACCGGCGTTCGTCACTAATCACGCAACGCCAACGTCTTACGTCATCCGCCGGAACGCCTTCCGCGTATGACAGATAACGGAAGTGAGAAAAAGTGCTTACGTTTGAAATATGGATATTTTTCTTACAAAAACGCATGGATTCACTACAAGAGGCCTTTATTCATTATGAATGCCTTTATTATGAATGTGCGCGCTTTATTTGACAACTTGTGAACTTTTCAACTGCAACACCCACTGACTGCAATGATAGAACTTGAAATAGCAGGACAATTTTTAATATAACTCTGACTGGATTCGTCTGAAAGAAGAAAGTCATATACACCTAGGATGCTTCGAGGGTGAGTAAAACACGGTCTAATTTTTGGGTGAACTAGCCCTTTAAATGACTATTTTTTGTTGGGTAAACGATCCCTTTAAATTGCATTATTATGTATAACTGGGTATACCCAGGAGAAATTACATCCATATGCAGCATTTGATTCTTTCAGTAGTACATGACTGCGATCCACCGCACATCTAGTTAAAACAACGCAAACTCAAGATCATGTGCACATTATTACACCCCTAACTGAACGTCATAGGTCTTCAAATGGGGTTTTTATTTGATTTGATCTTTTCGATGCGTTTTACAATTATATACAATATACAGGCAGCACATAGTACATTTTCTTTCCAATAAACAATCAAACAGGTAAGTTGTTAAATTAGACTACTTTCTGAGGGACAGCTTCAAACATTATACACTGTGTGCAGTACTGGAAGCAAGTCTTAGAAAATGGGATCTTAAAAAGGGATGAAAAGAAACAACTGATGCATCTTAAAAGCCCTCAGTATGTACAGAAAAAGCCAAGTAATCTAAAGAATCGCAACAAAACACAAAGAGGCTAATAGAATGAGAAGTCTTTTTTTTTCCCTCTCCATATACAGAACATTGCTAAAAATATTTCCCAAGCCCAAAGAACATCTCTTGATTTGGTCACCAGACTTCGGTGTGGCATAGCGAATGCAATTACGCAAAGTGATGAAGAAAACAAAGAGCAGCGAGAGAAGACACGAGGGTACGGACGCAGAGAGCATTTCGATGACTTGATGAAACGGTCACAGTACTCTCCCGAGTCGACAAAGACAAAACAAGAAGACAATGTGAGGTATATTCAGGTTAATGTTGTGAACTGCCTTTGGAAGCGGCAAGAAGAGACACCAACACACACCGCCGGTACGCACTTAAGACGCCCTCTGAACGAGAACTCGAGTGAAATGACAGCAAAACAAAAAAGTCCTCTACTCTTCAGACATCATGTTCTTGCTCTTCCTGTAATGATAACCACTCATATGAGGGTTTTCTTTTCAACTAGTTATGACGAAGGCACATTGCTTTAAATCAGGCAATATTTCTGTACTCCAAATCACTGCAGAAAGTCAAACAAAAGCAAAACAGTCCATTCAGTGCATATAACTACATTCATGAAGGCCTTATATTCATAGTCTATATTTACAGCATCTATGCTGACCATAACCCCATTATACATTGCCGGGCCTCTAGTTGTGCTAATTTAGTGAGAAATCGATTTGAATTTTAAGATCACGTTCTTTAACTACTTTACATTTTTAGTAGATTTCAATTCTTAAGGATTGCGCTAAAAATCAAACTTCTTTAGTATAGGCTATTTTCAATCTATATAAACGTATTTTAAGATTTAAAAAAAACAATACAAGAACACACCATCTGTGATAAGTAGAGGCAAACAAAACAACTATATGCCAAATTAAGGGCTTTGGGGAAAAGTGTCCAGCTTTGACGACGCAAAACTATTGGGTGGTGTAAACTGCGCAAACCGTAACAAGCAACAGCCTCTCTCTCAGTCACCTCCAGTTTCATTGTCAATGACATTTAGACGCTGCTTAGGAATAAGAAATCAAGAATCAAGGTATGAGCTGTATGAACTTGCGTATTCATGATGATTAATTTGATGCAAGTCAAGCGCTTCTTGACAGATCTGATAGTGTGTACATTACTGCTGACAGACAATGAGCCAAACGGTTTCATGTGAAATACGGTGTGGCCACAACATAGCTTGAATCCGGAGCATTCACCTGGTATACTTTATTACAGGACATTAGATCAACCTTACACGAAAATTAAGAAATGCCATGTACAACGATGATTTAAGGCGCCATCACAACCCATTTTCCTCTTGATTCTGAAATGGTTAAGGTGCCAATGTTCAGAATTTTGCAATTCATTTAGTATGTCTTTTTTTGTTTTTCTTTCTTAAAATACACCAAACCCATTAGCAAGATTAAAAACATGAAAGAAAAAGAAAAAAAAAATAAAATTCACACAAAACAGACAAATCAAACAAGCAGCTCCTTTGTATAGTGGCCACAAGTAATGTTTTCCCATGTATGGGCCCTGGGCGGCAGGGTGAGTCAGAGTGCACTATAGTGACAGATTAAGTGAGAGTGCACAGCGCTAAGTGCAAGTGTGAGCATGGACATTTCGCATTAACCCCGAAGCAGAGAGAGAGACAGACGGGCATCTCACTTCCGTTATCTGTCATACGCGGAAGGCGTTCCGGCGGATGACGCAGCACGTATGCGCAGCCCACGCCTGAGATATGCTAGTCTCGCGAGTTTGTTTATAGGAGCAACGGAAGCAAAGTTTCCTTACTTTAGCAAAGGAAGACCAGTCTCCTCTTGGTTTATATCGAGAAATCCTCCGGCATTTTTCTTTGCAAATCCTCGGTTTGTATTTCTGATTCATGACCGGCGTTCGTCACTAATCACGCAACGCCAACGTCTTACGTCATCCGCCGGAACGCCTTCCGCGTATGACAGATAACGGAAGTGAGAAAAAGTGCTTACGTTTGAAATATGGATATTTTTCTTACAAAAACGCATGGATTCACTACAAGAGGCCTTTATTCATTATGAATGCCTTTATTATGAATGTGCGCGCTTTATTTGACAACTTGTGAACTTTTCAACTGCAACACCCACTGACTGCAATGATAGAACTTGAAATAGCAGGACAATTTTTAATATAACTCTGACTGGATTCGTCTGAAAGAAGAAAGTCATATACACCTAGGATGCTTCGAGGGTGAGTAAAACACGGTCTAATTTTTGGGTGAACTAGCCCTTTAAATGACTATTTTTTGTTGGGTAAACGATCCCTTTAAATTGCATTATTATGTATAACTGGGTATACCCAGGAGAAATTACATCCATATGCAGCATTTGATTCTTTCAGTAGTACATGACTGCGATCCACCGCACATCTAGTTAAAACAACGCAAACTCAAGATCATGTGCACATTATTACACCCCTAACTGAACGTCATAGGTCTTCAAATGGGGTTTTTATTTGATTTGATCTTTTCGATGCGTTTTACAATTATATACAATATACAGGCAGCACATAGTACATTTTCTTTCCAATAAACAATCAAACAGGTAAGTTGTTAAATTAGACTACTTTCTGAGGGACAGCTTCAAACATTATACACTGTGTGCAGTACTGGAAGCAAGTCTTAGAAAATGGGATCTTAAAAAGGGATGAAAAGAAACAACTGATGCATCTTAAAAGCCCTCAGTATGTACAGAAAAAGCCAAGTAATCTAAAGAATCGCAACAAAACACAAAGAGGCTAATAGAATGAGAAGTCTTTTTTTTTCCCTCTCCATATACAGAACATTGCTAAAAATATTTCCCAAGCCCAAAGAACATCTCTTGATTTGGTCACCAGACTTCGGTGTGGCATAGCGAATGCAATTACGCAAAGTGATGAAGAAAACAAAGAGCAGCGAGAGAAGACACGAGGGTACGGACGCAGAGAGCATTTCGATGACTTGATGAAACGGTCACAGTACTCTCCCGAGTCGACAAAGACAAAACAAGAAGACAATGTGAGGTATATTCAGGTTAATGTTGTGAACTGCCTTTGGAAGCGGCAAGAAGAGACACCAACACACACCGCCGGTACGCACTTAAGACGCCCTCTGAACGAGAACTCGAGTGAAATGACAGCAAAACAAAAAAGTCCTCTACTCTTCAGACATCATGTTCTTGCTCTTCCTGTAATGATAACCACTCATATGAGGGTTTTCTTTTCAACTAGTTATGACGAAGGCACATTGCTTTAAATCAGGCAATATTTCTGTACTCCAAATCACTGCAGAAAGTCAAACAAAAGCAAAACAGTCCATTCAGTGCATATAACTACATTCATGAAGGCCTTATATTCATAGTCTATATTTACAGCATCTATGCTGACCATAATCCCATTATACATTGCCGGGCCTCTAGTTGTGCTAATTTAGTGAGAAATCGATTTGAATTTTAAGATCACGTTCTTTAACTACTTTACATTTTTAGTAGATTTCAATTCTTAAGGATTGCGCTAAAAATCAAACTTCTTTAGTATAGGCTATTTTCAATCTATATAAACGTATTTTAAGATTTAAAAAAAACAATACAAGAACACACCATCTGTGATAAGTAGAGGCAAACAAAACAACTATATGCCAAATTAAGGGCTTTGGGGAAAAGTGTCCAGCTTTGACGACGCAAAACTATTGGGTGGTGTAAACTGCGCAAACCGTAACAAGCAACAGCCTCTCTCTCAGTCACCTCCAGTTTCATTGTCAATGACATTTAGACGCTGCTTAGGAATAAGAAATCAAGAATCAAGGTATGAGCTGTATGAACTTGCGTATTCATGATGATTAATTTGATGCAAGTCAAGCGCTTCTTGACAGATCTGATAGTGTGTACATTACTGCTGACAGACAATGAGCCAAACGGTTTCATGTGAAATACGGTGTGGCCACAACATAGCTTGAATCCGGAGCATTCACCTGGTATACTTTATTACAGGACATTAGATCAACCTTACACGAAAATTAAGAAATGCCATGTACAACGATGATTTAAGGCGCCATCACAACCCATTTTCCTCTTGATTCTGAAATGGTTAAGGTGCCAATGTTCAGAATTTTGCAATTCATTTAGTATGTCTTTTTTTGTTTTTCTTTCTTAAAATACACCAAACCCATTAGCAAGATTAAAAACATGAAAGAAAAAGAAAAAAAAAATAAAATTCACACAAAACAGACAAATCAAACAAGCAGCTCCTTTGTATAGTGGCCACAAGTAATGTTTTCCCATGTATGGGCCCTGGGCGGCAGGGTGAGTCAGAGTGCACTATAGTGACAGATTAAGTGAGAGTGCACAGCGCGCTAAGTGCAAGTGTGAGCATGGACATTTTGCACTAACCCCCGAAGCAGAGAGAAAGACAGGTGGGCAAAGAAACGAATGAAAAGATATGTATTGAGATATTTGTGATTTTTCTTCATCATTGTCGCTGTAATTGTCTTCATCATCATCATGTCTTCATACCATCAACTCTTGACTGTGTCAGGAAGATTCCACTGCTTCCCATGCAACCCCAGGGCAGCGATCTGTGATGTCGTCACGGGGGATCATTTGGGAATGGGGAGGGGACATCTTTCCCATAGTTCCCTTGCTGGGGGTCTTTAAGATTGAGAAGGGTAGCAAATCACTGCCAGGACTGAGGGGGGAAATTGTTGACCTCGGCCAGGTCTTGTACAGGAGAGCCTTTGTGAGTGTATGTCAGCTTGACCCGCATTCGCAACTGTTGCTGTAATAAAAGAGGAAGTCAGGCACAGGCTAAAGGCAAAATTTGCAATTATTAAAAATTCTATGACATTATGATGTTTATCCATAAAATTGAGTCCTTAATTGCTGTAAATGCAAGCATTACTGGTGACGAACTAGAGCTGTGCAACTTGGGGTGGAAAACCTCATGAGATTTTTCTGATAAAAATTACAATTAAAAATGTGAATGGTTTGCTGTGCGTGTTTGTAGGGCTGCACAATTTGCCAAAAAATGTATATGTATACGTCCATATAATAATAATCATTATTATTATTATTATTATAAATATTAAACATTTAAAGTATTATATTATAATAATTATTCTTCTATTCTTATTATTATACACATATATACATATATTTAAATCAAGCATTTGCAACTATTTGCACTAAGCCATAATGTAATTCCGGTTTTGTTTCGATTAATCGTGCAGCCACGTGACAAGCTTCAACTTCAGAGCAAAACCAGCCTAATAAGCTTCTGATTGTCTTCACGCATTTGATTTCAAACTCTAAAGGCTAGCATCTCACTAGCTGACTTTTCAGTTGATTTTCTGTAGTAAACTTCATTGACGTTGTTGGACAATCAGAGGGAGCTTTGCCAACAAGTTCAGGCACTGGGAAAAGCTCTCATGCTCTTGGCAGGGACCAGCGAGCTTCCTCTGATGCTGAAAACCACTGTTCTTGCTCCGATTTCATCCAAATCAGACTTCTGAACATGTTTCAGGATCAATGGACTGATCTCTGAAGATCTACTGCAACAGCAAGCAGAGTGTGGCCTCACAGTAACATCTTACCTTCTGTGGGTTGAGAACCCTGATGACCTGCGTGACACTTCCCTGGTTGAGTGCTGGGACTACATTACTGCTGGGGGACAGGAGCTGCAGCTGGAATGTCTAAAAACACAAACAAATGATTAAGCATTTGACATGAGCAGAAATGATACAAAAATCATGTTTGCATGCACATGAATATTCCAAAATTTATAGGAATTTGTTCATATTCTGATTGTGTATGCATCACACAAATTCATTAACCTGATTTTTTTTTTTAATCACGACAAAGACTTTTCAAGACCTGCACAAATACAATAATACTGTATGTCCATACAGAACAAACCCATACAAATCTCAAAATAAATTATATCTCAGATTCTGTGTCTTAATTAAACAGGCTGTGGCACACATTCAACTGCAAGTTTAAAATACTCAAGACATGTTTTATTCAATATATACATTAGGGATGGGAAGATTCCCTGATTCACTCAGTGCATCGGCATTAAAAGTTAAAGATGCGATGCATCGGTTTAAAAAGTGTGCATCGGCTACAAGTCGGCATTTATATCGCGATGCATCGTTTCTAACATATTTGCATCGGTAAAAAACGATTTATTAATATATAATTACTAGTGGATGCGCTATACTTTTACGGTTTAGAAAGTGACCAATAATCTGTGACCAATATTTTATATGTAGATTGATTTCTCCTCTCTAAACTGTTTCTCAAGCGCGTTCTCTCATCACTGCTGCTGCGTGATTGTGACGCATCACCACAACACTACGGAGACCCGAGGAAAAACTGGGATTAAAGTCCAAAACCTGACTTGAAATAACCTAACAAATCAATCGGGGCTAAAGCGGTTCCATAAATGACTAATTAAGTTCACACAATCTCACTAATTTGTGCAGGCTTATTCTTAAGCAGCCCTTAATGTCGATCATGGATCAAATCGATCCACCATCGCAAACGGCGAATATATCTGTACTGTTTAATGCATTTGAGACGTTGTGTTTTCCTCAGTGCATAACTGACATGTCACAAAGTCACGCAAACATATTCATTTTGCTGTCAGGAGTGGGCGAGGCACGCGAGAGCAACGAGCGCTGCTGCGAGCATGCACGCTAAACAGACAGAGCGCAATCGAATAGGAGCGCAATAATTCTGAGTAAAATATACATTTTGCTAAAATATTTGTTGTTGGACATTAAATGTGTCTTTTGTAGAATTTTAAACTTTCATATAAGTGTATTTTTATGATAGCAGTAACTACAGAGAGACTATTGTAATAGGTAAATCAAATGTAAGCTAGTTCAGTACTAATTACTAAGCTCAAATGAGTTAATGTGTGTTTCTTATAGCAGTTAAAATAGTCATTTTCTTTATTTATTTTCATTTTTAATTCAGTGATTTTAACTTTTAATTTAGTTACTTTAATGCTTTAAAGAGCAATTTTAGATTGTAATGTTCAGCTATCTGAACTATAAAAGGTACAGCTGTCATAAAACCAGAGAGAAAGGATGCATGGCTAGAAACTGTAAAAAAGAAAAAAAAAGTCAAATAATAGTATGTGAGCGATTAGTATCATTGGGTTCCTATAGACCAATTTAGAGTAGACGTCACAGTAAAAATAAGGTAAATGGGTAAAATCCAAATATTTTTGTGCCTTTTGATGTCAAGATCAGAATGCAAGTAATTTTTATAGAATACTATCGTCATTTGAAGCTAAACGCAGACGTTTAAATGGACATACTATGGATGAAAACTGCTATGATTACTTTTAAAGCATAAATTTGATTTAAACAATAGGTCTACATAATATTCACATATGCTGTTCATAGGGGGCGTATTGTATTAGCCCTACAGTTACAGCATGAAATATTATTTAAACCTTACTATTAGAAATAATTTAAACCTTACTATTAATATTTATTTACTTTATCTCACAATTCCGCAAATGCAAGTTTATATCTCCTAATTTGGACTTTATAACTCGACTTAACTCAAAAATAGTGAGTTTGTCAAATCTGAGGGGAAAAAAGCCAGAAGAGCTGAGAGGAAAAGAGAGAATGACGAGTTGTTTTTCCTTATTAGAATTGTGAGATATAATCTCGGAATTGCGAGAATAAAGTCATAATTTTGAAATATAAAATCAAATTGACCTTTTTTTATTCTTTTATTCCATGGCTCCATAGACTGCCACTTGAAAACCCTAATTTTCTGCCTCCAGATAGGCTCCGCCCACAAAAAACGTCCCCCCTGTTTCGGATCTGTAAGACTATCCCACTCTCTAACGTCAATTTCGTTGAATAACAGTGCTTATCGCTGGGTGACAAGCTCTTGTAATATGCGTAGAACATTTTGAAAATGACATCTAATCAATATAATTTATAATCTTTTTAAACCTAACTATTTTGTACCATATCCGTGAAATTCTCTCTCTAAAGGCTATCTCTCCCGGGTTTTCTGCAACCATGATGCGCGCGCATCCTGAATGTTTACAAACCGATAATTGGTCTATTGGTCAGTGTTAGAGGAACTCCGCTTAGTCTGACAGTTAGCCTGCTTTAGACCAGGTCAGTTTCCCAGCATAAGTTGCCACAGTGACTAAGCTTGATCTAGGCCCATGTTAAATTTGTTTTATGGAACCAAATCATTTGACAATGAGTCAGACTAACTGAAATAAGCCTTATGAAACAGGCCTCGAGGCTTTAAAAGTGATCATATTTTCTCCATTGCATCGAATCGCATTGTTTTGAATCGAATCAAAATCGGATCGCACTGCATCGTAACATGGGTGAATCGTATCGCATCGGTAGCTGCTTCATATGTATCTTTAATGTATCGTAGGCTATGCATCGAGATGCGTATCGTTTCAGCCTGAGTCGTGAGATGCACATCTCTAATATACATGTATAATAAAACTGGTTAATGTACTAAAATACCATTACATATGAATTATAGGTTGTTCAATATTGGATTTCTCTTATACAATAATGTGTTCAAATAAAGCAATTAAAAAGACTATTGTGCCAATACTGGTAAAATCAATATACTAAATGTATTACAGGGTGTAATTGTCTAATTACAATTTTTACACATTTTAAGAATTTGACAAAAGATGACAATTTTAATAAAGTTAGAGGAGTCAAATATTACCTCGTAATGGGAAGGCTACTTTTTGATAAAATTTTGGATGATTGATTAGAAGGTGCTCCTAAAATTTTGAATGTGCTCCTAAATCTTTTAAGTTAGGAGCACAAGTGCTCCTAAAAAGAAAAGCGTCGTGCCCTGCTTTACTTCTACTCCTTCTTCGTGTGCCTTTCCTACAACCACGACCGCGTGACACATAGATAAATACAATAGAATATGTTACAAATAAAATAAGGTTGGTAGTATTCAAATACAGAAATGTAACAATTAGGGAAAATAACACTGTATAAATTAAATAGATTTTATTTTAATTTAGTTTTGTTTGATGATCATTAATGACAGCAGCAGTATTTATAGGCCGCTGTCCCTTTAAGACCTGATACACGGATCCGATATAATGATACACTTCACATCCGATTTCTTTCTCAGCTGTTTTCATTCACTTGAGACATAACTGACTGCGTTTACCTGAATGATTGTCGAGATGAGTATTTTGTCATAATTTGTGTCTGTTCAGAGAATTCAGAAGAGGATTCAGTTTAGTGTTCGCGCGCCGTTTTAAAACCCGCGAGTAACGAATCGAGTTCCCTTTTGCCTTTTCTCTCTGGAATTGTTTAAAATTCGCTTGCTTGTGTAAATACGAACAAATTATAAACTTATACTCTATTATGGTTAAATTTTGCAATTAATCCGCGGATCACATGCGTGCCGAACCGTGGGGCTTGGACCGTATGGATCACGGATCAACTACGATCCGTTTAACCACTAAGGTTAACCAACTAGGGTTCTCAGTAACAAAAACTACTAGAGGGAAAAGAACAAACCTTTGGTACTGCAGCCTGGAACACAAATTCTGTCATGTCAGCCTCGGTGGAGTTGGTGGCATGGATGGTGATAACTGCAATATTGGGATTGGGGTTGGCCCTCTCAAATGTGAACTCGATTTTTATACCATTTTTGTTGTACGCCGTCATTGGCGGAATGCCTGCAAGACAGAAACAGATATGATAATTGCACTGTCCTATTTTGCATTAACCACTATGATGAAATTTAATGCAAGCTCACCCGCTGCAATGTCATTGAAGAGGGGCTGCGAGGCGAGACCGTCCAAAAGGAAAGGGGGCTGGGACAAGGTCACAGAGGGAGCAGGGGTGGGAGTCGGACCACCTAAGGAGTGAGAAGGTACAATGGTATGAGCAGGGCTTCACCCAAAAGGACAAAAGGACGTCATTCAAATACAGATTGAATGTTCAAATGTTTGGATTGAAATGAGGATGAGTAAATAACAGTATTTTCATTTTTGGGAAATCTACTTAAACAACAGTAGATATGTTTACTTGCACTGATTTGAATGAATCCAATCTGATTTTAGATTCTGAAAATTGTGTTAATATGAACCATAAACATTGCAATCTGATTCACATGTTTGTTTGCATGTGCATTACATGTATTCCGAACAGAACTGAAGCATTCGTATGACACAAAACATGTAAAAAAATAAAATAAAAAAAAAGCATCATGGCACAGTGCAAGTACGTAAGGTATTTTTGAATCTGACTGAGAAAATAGTCTGATTAAAGCATTTACATGCTTCATTTTTTCCTGTTTATCAGATTATTTCAGCTTTCAGCTCTCATCCGATCAAAATTTCATTCAGATCGAGCTCAGTCAGAACGATTGAGGTGTTTACATGACGGCTTTTCAATCTGATTGAGCAATCAATCCTATTATAAATGGGTTAAGTGCAAGTGAACTTAGCTACTGTAAAATCAGTCAGTGTCCCAAACATGGAGACACAGGAATGGCAGGATGTGAATTTGCTACAGAGCAGCAGAAGTGTGCAGCAGGCTGACCTGTCAGAGAAAGGTCTCCCAGCAGATCCAGTAGTTCTCCTCCAGCTGACGCAGGCTTTGTGGGAACAGCTGTTTGGATAACAGGTACCACATCATTACCTCCGAGTAGGTCTAATAAATCATTTACCTGTAAAACAGGAAACACAGAACATTAGCATACAGTAAATATTTCACCACAGCTAAATATCCCTCTTTATCTGCTCAACCATACCAGAGATATTTTTTCATTACTCTAGCAGAGGTTCTCAATCAATTCCTAAACAATCCAATACTACTACGCCATGCATTTTGGACGTCTCCCTTATCTAGTACACTTGATTCAACTTATCAGATCATTAGTAGAGCGCTCAATGAACTAAACTGCCATTTCGAACAGCCAAACTGTAGAATAAAAAAAAGTACATAATTCAACTGTAGATGAGGTATGCTCTTTAGGTATGCAGTATAAATGCATTCCCAGACACACTACATTCACCATATTGACAGCCTTTTGACCGGATTTCTTTGACCCATAACATGCTAATTAGGGATGCACCGATACTGGTATCGGGCCGATACTGAGCTCCTGTACTCGTACTCGTTAAAATGCCCCGATACCAAACGCCGATACCACACAGCATGTGTTAAGTGCCATATTCAGACAAAGAAACACAGACAACAGACAGCAGAATGGAGTTAAGGATGTCTACAACGAAGTATATGTATGCAATGAATATAACGTTAAACATTCAGTATTAACGCCTGTATAGCTGATGTGCATGAGCTGATAAACAAAGCACGCTGAGTGGATTGAGCCCACAGCGGCGCAGATGCGCGAGCTTGTCGAGTGAATATCCTTCTCACAGACATCACTGGAAAGTTTGTAGTTCTGTCGAGATATCAAAAAGAAGTAAAACAATGCACAAGTTACTTAACGGTAGGGAGGGACAGGGGGAGAGAGAGAGAGAGAGAGAGAGAGCACACACCTGTTGTGTGATCTTTGATGTTCACTCACTTAGCACACGCATCATTTGGATTAAAACTAAATCGTAAATATAAGACAATTTAAAGGGGCATTCACTATAAACATCATTGAAAATCATCATTGATTTTAGGCATACACGACTTTCTGGCGAAAGTGAATCTAGCAGGCTGTGTGAAATGCGCTAGGCTGTCCTATTCTGCATCAGTACAAATACGTGCACGCTTTGCACGTTTTGCGCTTGCTTGAGTGTTTCTGCATTATATGAGTGGCTTTGGAATATAAATCGCAGCACGTTTCAGATGAAAAAACGTAGTAAGTGTGAAAATAACCGAAGGATATACAGTCACACCAAAAATTATTCAGAGACCAGATATAATTTTTTATATTTTTTTACTAGTGGGTGCAGGACATTCATTTATGTAGGTTAGGATAGCAAAATAAATTAAACTGTGACAAATCATACCCAAAAATTCTTCATACAGTGGACTACCAGTAAAACTGATATAACTTTGGGACCAAAAATTACTCGGACTGAGTCTGGGAAAAAAAACTGAAGTTCAGGTTTGCAAGAAGCTGGGTGACAGCATGCCCAGGAGACTATATGCTGTCATTAAGGCTAAAGGTTGCCAGACTAAGTATTCATAGTTGTGTAAATACTGTCATACTAACAGCTGTCTGAATAATTTTTGATTGATTGTAATCTATTACATATCTTTCTATCAAAGTTATCTAACATTATCAAGCTGAATTTGTTCTGACACAGTTTAGCTCCGAATATTTTATTACCATTTTCTAAACTATAGCGAATAAACTGTGATAATGTGAGAAATGTTGAAGGTGTCTGAATAAACTTTGGTTTGACTGTATCTATTTGATAAATGAAGTTAACCAACTAACATTATACATACTCTTTCGGTTTCTGTACCCAATATTAAAAAATTTTTACAAATGCAATAAAAATATCGGTATCGGTACTCGGTATCGGCAAGTACCAAAAATAAAAGTATCATTATCGGGCGAGTACTGGAAAAAGTGGTATCGGTGCATCCGTAATGCTAATCAACACGAAAATTATTTACTCAGCCATTGTTCAAGCAGCACAATTCAACCTTGAGGAATAGTTTTCTGGATGCCTAAAATACTTGCGTTTGAGCTGCCCCACTCATAGTACTCTGCCATTTTTTTAAGTCAGGTTAGATGCCATACTGAATTTAATGTGGATGAAATGCGGCTGTGAGGGACAGACTTATGTAACTTTCAAAACTGTTTAAGGGAGTTTCTGTCTACTGGAATTTATTTTATTTTTTTAAAGGGGGGGTGGAGACGTTACATCAGCTGAACAATCGCTATGTGCAATTCTTTTAACACAGTGCACTTCTAGCAAAGTAATGATGTGTCATGTACACTGGATTTTTGACATCCTGTTTTTTGCATAATGAGTATGAGGAAAATACACACATTTAGAGGCTGAATACATTGTCAGATTATTGAGATGCCTAAAATGTGCACTGGATTGGATTGACAAACCCTCTAACATTATCAAGCTGAATTTGTTCTGACACAGTTTAGCTCCGAATATTTTATTACCATTTTCTAAACTATAGCGAATAAACTGTGATAATGTGAGAAATGTTGAAGGTGTCTGAATAAACTTTGGTTTGACTGTATCTATTTGATAAATGAAGTTAACCAACTAACATTATACATACTCTTTTGGTTTCTGTACCCAATATTAAATTTTTTTTACAAATGCAATAAAAATATCGGTATCGGTACTCGGTATCGGCAAGTACCAAAAATAAAAGTATCATTATCGGGCGAGTACTGGAAAAAGTGGTATCGGTGCATCCGTAATGCTAATCAACACGAAAATTATTTACTCAGCCATTGTTCAAGCAGCACAATTCAACCTTGAGGAATAGTTTTCTGGATGCCTAAAATACTTGCGTTTGAGCTGCCCCACTCATAGTACTCTGCCATTTTTTTAGTCAGGTTAGATGCCATACTGAATTTAATGTGGATGAAATGCGGCTGTGAGGGACAGACTTATGTAACTTTCAAAACTGTTTAAGGGAGTTTCTGTCTACTGGAATTTATTTTTTTTTTTAAAGGGGGGGTGGAGACGTTACATCAGCTGAACAATCGCTATGTGCAATTCTTTTAACACAGTGCACTTCTAGCAAAGTAATGATGTGTCATGTACACTGGATTTTTGACATCCTGTTTTTTGCATAATGAGTATGAGGAAAATACACACATTTAGAGGCTGAATACATTGTCAGATTATTGAGATGCCTAAAATGTGCACTGGATTGGATTGACAAACCCACCTGACTGGCTGGTTGAATGATGCTGGGCAGATGTTTTGTGTCCAGTATGGTTGAATCGGTTTCTCCATTGGTCTGGACAATCTCTGCTGGGCCGTTAGTGGCCGTTTTCTCCATAATAGGCATTCGCTCTAGTAATGCAGGTCTTCATGGGAAAGAGGAAGAAAGAAAGTGAGGACAAACAAACTTAAGCTGGGGGGGGGGGCATTAAACGTTAAAATTAAGTGCGAAAAACATGAGTCTGGAATAGTAAGTAGCTCTTACCTCATGTGATCATATTTTTTGAAAAGTGCATTATATTCCACAGCTCTCTGTTGCAGCTCCACATCTATGCTGCTGCCGTATATCGACACCACTTTTTTAATTCGACTGCAAAGCAAATGGAAACAAATGGAAGATCAGGGCCTCATATTTGGGGACACAACATTTCAAGAAAATACATCCTCATGCTTGTATCAAAAGTGACTGAGACCAGGTATGCTTACTTCACGCTGCTGAAACGGGTGGACAGCTTCATGATAGCAGTCAGGGAATAACCTCTCGTTACAGGGGCGGACAAGTTAGAAACGAGAAGACCTTCTAAAACATCCAGGACCTCATCTTCACTAACCTGTGACATGAAATCGGATGCAATTGTTCTGCCTTCAAAATAAATGTGTATGTGTGGTTTGAAAGGGCATCTACCTGAATGGGTTCCTCCTCCTCACACTGGCCTGAGACCAACAGGTCTCCATACTCTCCTATGCACCAGGATGCCACCTGTACTAGAGGTTGCTATAGGAAAAGTTTGGCTTAGTTCACACAGACATAATTCTGTTGACATTTAGTCATCCAAATGTCATTCCAAACAATCCTTGAATGGGGTATGACGTATTCAGGGTCCAAATATGGTATACATTTCACTCTGTTGCTCACACAAAGCTATTTTATGAGTTCAGAATACTTGGAATGTAGACACACAAGTTGCATGAACATTTTTCAACAGTTCCATGTCATTATATATATTGGAGCTCAGTATCTGTCACCATTTACTTTCATACAGTGAATGGAAAAGAGCAGCATGAACATTGCATTTGAAGGAAACTAAATCTGTCACATGGTTTTGGAAAAACATGAGAATTTACAGTTCATTTCTTTTATGAAACTAACAGATGACAAGTTTTGCACTTCGGGTTTACAAGTTTAAAGTCCAGTGAAGAAAACGCAGTGTTAAGATGATTCTAACCTGAGAGATGTCATCCAGGAGGGCTTTGTAGAGTCTCTGTACAGTGTAGGCATGCATCTCTACACTATTTGTAATGAGCTGAATGAGGTTGGGCACAGAGTCATCCCGGACATAACTCCCTGCCTATAAAAGCAGATACAAAACAGGTACATCAGAACGGCATTTTAAACCACTCTGCCATCAATAGAGAGCCATTTTGTCAATTTCCACCACAAATAACTTGGCTCTGGGCCTAAACAACTCTTAAAACACTCCTAAATTCAGGCCAGAGGACAAGATAATGTCAGCAACAAATAACTGCTACTCAATCTGGAAAGACTACTGCAAAACTATATGAAATTATATTATTGTGGATGTTAAAATGTCCTCAAGACTTGTTTAATTGTGGGCAGGCCATGTCATCATTTGGCTCAAGTTAGTGGAAATGCAAACTGAAAGATGTCTGCAGATCCCTGGCCAAGCACTGGCCAAAAAAACAACAACACAGTTTTGGTGGAACAACGGCATGAAATGACATACAGAACTCAAAACACACATCACCAAGACCAAGATTAAGAAATGCTGTCGGAGATAATAGGATCATGCTTTACACTCTACACTCAATATCATGAGTTAATCAGCAACCGTAACTAAACATTGTCTATTCCAAAGTGTACTTTAAATTTACATCAAGTGATAAACTCAAATAATCATGAATGTGATCTAGTTTAATGGTAGGAGTAAAGCAGATTATAGTAAGAAACAATGAGAGCAAGACATTTACCGTTGTCAAAACCCTCATAATGGTGTCTATGTGCCATCTTTTGGAGGGTGCATACCTGCAACAAACAAGTGTTAGATATATATGTGCAATCCAGCAGTCTAAAGCTTGCAAAATATAAAACCAAGTCACCAAGGCAAAAACCATCAAACCAAGTAAATCTCTTTGAACACTCCTAATCAAATCCCTTTTAGTGCTGTCAGATATAAAAGTGTCAACAGAATCAGCTTCTGCCGATGGATCACTCATTTTATCATCACACAGCCATGAGTTGCTCTACAACTTACTTGAACAGCTCTTTATTTTTCAAGGGCTTGCTTACTGAATTTGATCGGATTCACTTAACTAGGCTTTTACACCTTTTAAAACTCTTAACAGACTGCAGGCTTTCAAAAGGGCTGCAAGGACGTGCAACATGACTGTCATGCAAGGAAGTCGTTGGTGTTTCCCCTCACATGAGTTCTGCGCAACATGATTTGCACGATTTAACAATAAACAGCCTTACTTCTCTGCAGCCAGGAAGATCCCTGACGCGCAGTCCGCTTTGAAATCAGGGTCACAGGAGTCCAGGAAATACAGAAGCTCTTTCATCATGCCCCGGATGTTGTTGCCGTTAACCAGGGCAAAGCTCAGCTCCATTGCACGCCTGTGGAAGAACAAGCGTAATCAGTGGGGCTCATCCTCTTGTGCCATAATGGATATAAAAAGCCATACAGCCTGTACATAAATTACCTTTTAATGGACACATCAAGGTCTTTCAAGCAGTCCACGATAGTGCTTCGATGTCTCTGCACAGCATTGTGGTCTGTCTGCACAGTCTTCAGTAGAGAAGTCAATGCCACATATCTGATTCAGGGAGAGTATTAATGTCAAAGCCCTATCATTTTGACAATCAAGTCTAGTGTGGGCTGGGCAACACATGAAATAAGCTATTTCAAGTCCACAGTAAAGCTGATGTCAGAGACTATGAGATCATCATTTGTAACACTCAGTCGATGGATCACTCAAGGTCTTCATCACTCAACAGCATTAAACAGCTTTCTCTCTGGTCACTTTATAACCAAGCCTGAATGTCACACTTGGGTCAAAAGTGGCATACCTGATGTTTTTGTCATTGTTGAGAAGAAAACGTCCCAAAATGTTAATTGCTAAAACCTGTAATAATAGAAACAACAGCATTTTTAACCACTTTCTGCAGACACCTTTGAACGTTATAAAATTTATTTAAACCACTCACACAGCACCACCAATCTAAGCAACTCACCCTTAGTCCACTCTCTGATTTTATGTCCATAATTGTAAGAACAGTTTCGTAGAGGATAGCATTGCCTACATTTTTACTTGTTTCTGTATTTGTTGCAACCTATTAAAAATAATTTGATGGGAAATCTTTAGAAGGTAGAAAGATAAAGTTATGTGGTTATAAAGTGGATATAATCATACTGCTTACCTGTGCAAGAATGTCATTCATAGCTTCACTAGAATCATCATCACCCTTTCCCAGAATTCTCAGTAGCCTCAATATCCGCACCTTAAAAATGCCAAGAGACACAGTGTGGCCCAGAGGAGCTCATCAGATTGCTTTAGGCTATAAATGAACAGGTATCACCTCATATGGGAAAAATGAATTGCAAACTTAAGGACCACTCTAAAAATCAATTTCTTGCAACTGACCAAACAAATGACATGAGGTACATTACAGAATTTAATTCACATCGACTGCAACATTAAAAATGCTAAGAGATTTCATTTTATGGAATGACGCTCAGAAAAATCCCATATCACTGAAAATGGTGTCCTAAAATAATGTCTCTGTGACAATCCTAAGTGTGGTAAAAGGGTTTAGCCAAAAAAAAAAAAGGCACTTTCTACCGGTCACTGATTTAGCATGTTCATAGATCAGTCCATATAAGGGAAGCAGGAAGTTGAGAGAGCATGGTGAGATGAATCACTTAAGTAAAGTGCAGAGCAATTTTGAGTTTGTCATGGAAGAGTGCAATTTTGCTACCATTGCAAAACTACTACTGGACTAAAAGTTCTTTGTAGCCCTGGTTTTAGAAAAAGGGGGCGTGTCTCATTCAATAGCAGACAGCCAACGTCACTTAGTGCACTTTTAAATAGAGCAACACTGACAGGAGATGATGTGTCTTTACCTGCAGGAAAGGGTCACTGATGCCAGACACATCGTGCTCAGGGGAGTAGCCTGACATGATTAGGTTCTTCAGGATTCGTACAAGTTGTGGAACCAGCTAGAAAAAAAAACAGTGGGAGAAGAAATGAAAGACTATAAGCAAGGTTACAGCAGGGTCGTAGATATTTCAAAACAGGACAGCACATAAAAAGGGTCAGTAAGTGTCAATACACGTAGGCACCCTGAGTTGATCATCTTCCAATAGACTAGTTTCACTACACATTAAAGGGGTCATATGATGCGATTTCAAGTTTTCCTTTCTCTTTGGAGTGTTACAAGCTGATTGTGCATAGATAAGATCCCTGAAGTTGCAAAGACTAAAGTCTCAAAACCAAAAGATATTCATCAAAGTTAAGACTCTGCCACGCCCCCCTAAAACGGCTCATTCTAACACGCCCCCACATATTAGGGGTCGACCGATTATCGGCGCCGATATTAAGCATTTTTATGATTATCGTATCGGTCATTTTGCCGCTCATCTGATTTGTTGGGAGTCATGAGTCTGACCAATCAATGCGGAATTCACTCTCACTCCGAAAGCGCTTTCTAACTGCTTGTTGCTAACTAGAGCTGCTTCAGTGATCACGCATCAGTTGTCTCTCAAAGGTAAGGCAGCAGCAGACCTTGCTTATGTTGCATTAGATCCCAATCCACTAACGTTACACTGAAGTTGCAAAACACCTCAATATTATCTATGATTTCCGCGATGCGGAGAACGCGGATGGAATCGCGGAATCCAGTCATATAAATGGAATTTACTGTATGACGCGGAATGTCACGGAATTTGTCAAAGTTCGGATGAATTAATCAAAAGTAGGTCAGTACACTTAAATAGAGTCGCAATATGGACTAGTATCTGTAAATATTAAGCCGCAACAATACTATTTAAATATGAATCCAGCATGTTCTGCATGTCTCTGTATGTAAATGGCACAGACGCATACGCGTTTTGTTTTCTACACAAAGTGTGCGACGCTCGCGCTGATTTCACTACTCGTCGTATCACTACATGAGGACATAAATACATGAACAACATGCATTTCATAACTCCAGAAGTGCTCTGACTCCTCACTTCATGAGCATTTGACAGTTTCATTGGAGTAAAACTATCTTCATATAATTTACATAGACCTACAGAAACAAGTTCCTCATGGCAACCCGTCAAAATATAAGTTCGGGTTAGCATAAAGAAATTATAAGAAATATATTACTGGTGGAGGTGCAGTATGATTTACATAATATTACTCGGGATGAAAGTTTTCCGTCGCTACGACGGATTTCCGTCAATTGGAAAAAATGAGGGGAAAAGAAACATGTAGCACATTGTTGTTGTTCTGCCGGTGTTCTGACGATTTGTTGGTAGCATAATCTGATAGGTAGCATTATTTGTCAGAACACCAGCACACCAAAAATCCTCCCCACGGCTGCAGCTTCTCACTGACAACATAACGCCGCTCGCATCATTCACAGTCTGGTTATTAACAGAGAACACAGAGCAGGTCTTGAATTTCAGGCGCGGGATTGCGGCTATTAATAATAATTCTACT